TGATGTTGATACACCCAGTTATCACATGAAATATTTCTATCAGCGGCCGCCTTCTTAAATTGCTCAACTTGACGATCGAACTTCTCCAACCGTTTTTCTCCGACTAACCAAATAAACCACCACACGGGTTAGATAAATTCATGGCAACATTACATGAAAATAAATAACAAAATTAAATGAAGAAAGCTTACCGACTCGAAATAGTTGCTTATACATAATTCTGCTTTTAGTCTTCCTTTGCAAATTGCTTGCATAGTGTCGCATGCACCACCTCCACTCCCAACCTATTCCGATGTTATTCATGGCTTCATAGAGTCCTGCATGTCTATCTGAGATGATGCATACATCATTTCGATCAGTCAAACCCTGAACGTTCCTCATGAACCATGGCCAACTCTCAGTATTCTCGCTCTCCACTATGGCAAATGCAATTGGAAAAATCTTCTTCCGGCCATCAAATGAGCTCGCCATGAGTAGCACTCCTTTATACTTCCCAGTAAGAAATGTTCCATCAACAACCATGACGCCTGGACAATTCTTGAATCCATCTATACAAGGTCCATAAGCCCAGAATACTCGCTGAAATATTGAATGACCTGGTTGAGTCGAAGGAACTCTTACCCAATCAATCACCGATGTTGGCATTTTTCTCTTGACCACCCGCAAGAATGTTTGCAAAAAATCATAGGATTCTTCCCAATTTCCATGCAACTTCTCCAATGCTCTTTGTTACCATACCAAGCCTTCTTGTAAGTAACTTACATATTAAACTTATCTTTCAACTCGGCCTGAACAGTTAGAACACTCAGATTTGGTTGGGCACTTACCAAATGTTTGACGGCCTCAGATTTCATGTCGACATCAAGATGGCGATGATCTGTCGGTTGAGTCGTACTGCTACAAGAATGCACCAACTCAGCCTTTCTCACAGCCCATTCGCCTCCAACATCTCGACATCCAAACCGCACCATCCAAGAACAATTGTCATCCTTGTGCCTCAAGCATCTGACCTTCCAGATTGAAGGTGACGACTCCACCACACCATATTGAAAGTTGCATTGTAGTGCGTGGTGTTTAATCGCCATCTGTGCAGCTTGTTTCGAGTGAAATATCTGCCCCTTGTAGAATTCTCCTTCAAAACTATCAACAATAGGCATTGGAACTACGCCATATGAATCAGCAAGTGATAATTCTTCGTCCTCTTCATTACCCTGCAAGTAAAAATATGGAGGATAATTAGGTTGCTCTCCTTCCCCCTATTCCTCCTCCTCCTCCTCCTCCTCATCTTCCTCCTCTCCGTCATCACCGTCATCATAGTCATGATCGGATGGCACGCTCCATGTATCATCTTCTTCCTCTCCACCCTGATCCTCACTGAGCTCAACATGTATCTCAGCACCCAAACAATAAGGATTTTGTGCCATACAATTCCAAACCACATTCAAGCTATCATCATCCACAATAGGTATCGCATAATGAAATAAAACACCATTCTGCCATTCTGGAAGACGGTAAGTGAAACCTGTGATCACATCACTATCTTGTACTGCTTCGTCTCTATGCCGTATTCTCGGAATTAGATTCTCACAAAGTTTGTGATATGTGACCCTAGATGGAACCGTCAACTAAAAACTACTACCACCAACGAATTTGATGCCCAAATTATCCTCTACTTTCTCCGATTTACACCGAACGACTAGTTCAAATCTTCTAAAATCACTACCAAAAAAACAAACTCACTAATTAAAACTAAACACAAAATCCTCCTCCTCCTCCTCCTCATCTTCCTCCTCTCCGTCATCACCGTCATCATAGTCATGATCGGATGGCACGCTCCATGTATCATCTTCTTCCTCTCCACCCTAATCCTCATTGAGCTCAACATGTATCTCAGCACCCAAACAATAAGGATTTTGTGCCATAAAATTCCAAACCACATTCAAGCTATCATCATCCACAATAGGTATCGCATAATGAAATAAAACACCATTCTGCCATTCTGGAAGACGGTAAGTGAAACCTGTGATCACATCACTATCTTGTACTGCTTCATCTCTACGCCGTATTCTCGGAATTAGATTCTCACAAAGTTTGTGATATGTGACCCTGGATGGAACCGTCAACTGAAAACTACTACCACCAACGAATTTGACGCCCAAATTATCCTCTACTTTCTCCGATTTACACCGAACGACTAGTTCAAATCTTCTAAAATCACTACCAAAAAAACAAACTCACTAATTAAAACTAAACACAATCATAATAGCATTTGAATAATATAATTACAAAAATAAATGTGTCTCTTACCTATTAGCCATTTTTGCAGCAGCAACTAGAGCTCTCTCCTCTATCTTGGACGATTTTTTTTGTGGAGTGAATCTGAAACGAAATTGGCTGGGTTTTATAAGGTGGGTGGCCAGCAATAAGTCAGCGGTGCCACCTTAGTCTTGGGCGCCACCGCCTGGGATGATTTCCCACCAACTCACCTAGGTCTCAGGCGGTGCCACTTGAGTCTTGGGCGCCGCCGCTGTCAAATTAATAAAACGATCCAAAAAGTCAGCAAAACCAGCAACGCCCGAGTCTCAGGTGGTCTCGTCGATTCTTTTCTCCAAAACACAATATCTGTGTCAATACTTTTTAACTAGCGTGGGCCCCGACCATTTGATCGAAGGAAGGTGAGGTATGAAATTTGATAATGTAATGGAGTGTATAGCTTATTGTTGTATAATTTTTTTTTTGAAACACGTGATACAAATAGTGAATTTTAGTACGAAAGAGACATGAATAATGCAACGAATCAAAAATCAGCCTTATGAACCAAAATCAAGTACCTGTTACCTTGTGAAATAATATTGTTTCTCGTAACATGATGAGGTGAAGTAAGTTTTATACAAACCGAATTCGGCCTATCCTGCCGGTTTTCGGGAAATGAGCATCTCACAATCGTTGCTAGCTTTTACTCGGCTCGTTGGCCGATTAATTTGCTTTACAAAACTTTCATCTTGTCATCATTGTGCTTTCTAGTTTTTTGCCAATCCATGATAAAATCTAAAGAAATCAAGAATGAATAACACGATTTGGGATAGGAACCAACGTTCCTGTACCCCTAGAAAATGGTGGTAAACACGGACTCTCCTGCCAAACTGGTTTGGATTGAGATTCTTATTGGGTATCAGGGAACCATGTGATTATAAATTGATCAAAACGGGCCAAATTCAGCTTGTTTGACCAACCCATGCCAAACTCTAATTATTCTTTACTTTTAAACTTTTTATTTGAAAATAAAAAAATAATGAAAGAAAAGAGATGACTGCAATTTGACATTTTCACATCACTGATTCGGGAATAAAACTATAGAATTTCGAAAGGAAACTGAAAATATTTAGGACCGTTTTAATGTTAAAAATAACTAAATAAATCTTTCTATTTAGTTTTTTACTAACAAATACCAAACGATTCCCTATAATATACAATATAATTTAATCATTATGATATCAAATAATTACATAATATATATTTGAAATGATAAAAATTGGACTAATTGGGTTGGTCGAGGTTGAACCATTGAATAACTTTAAAATACATTATATTTTAGCCACTAAGATATAAAATAATAGCATAATATATATTATGCTAGAGAAAATAGCTTGTTTTAGAACGGCAAACCCATGATGTTCATTTGTTTTACTTGATGGGCAAATCCCGTGTAGGTCAGGCCCATTCAACTCTTTTATTTTATGATTAGCGGTTAGCCCATTAGAATCCATGCATTAGTTTATTGTTAATTTTTTTCTTTTTAGCAATAAAAGGAGTATTTTTTTTGCCTTTTCATATATATTTTACTACCACAGAGAAATAAAATGACTTAAAGAAAAAAAATTGACACTCCTGGACCCGTTTAAATCCACATGTGTACGGTAAGTTGGCCCGTTCCACAGAGGAAAAAGAAAAAAATTGACACTCCCTATTCTACCCTTCCGGCAAACGCCCCTGGATCAGGGAATTCGAAATGGGGGAAGGGTTTTTCCCTCTCTGCGTTATATATTTTTAATTTAAAAAGATACAACAAATGTACTTAGTTTGATTGGTTATGATCTTTGTTTTTCTTTAAAGTGGTCATAGTTCGAATCCTAGTAAGTGTCTTTTTAATGAATAAAAAATGTCTTTTTAATGAATAAAAAAAATTGTGAAGACCAAAATGTCATTCCTACTTTCACTCTGTATGCAGGAAATTTGAAATGGGGCCTGCGCTTTTAGTTAATTACTTAATTAGCTTCGAGGACAAGGGGGCGGAGCTGGCCGGTTCCCGGCTGGGGTTAAATAGCAATTTGGTCACTGAACTCTACTACATCTGTCATGTTGATGCCATGAAATCTTTTCTTAAACATTTGAAAACTAAATTCAATTGGATGTGTTGATTTTAACCATCTTCGGTCAAAAATAACAAAATTTCCTGAACTTTTTGACATGACACATTTGTTTGTCACCCATACGATTAATTGAAGTGCTTAGATTATTACTTACAACAACCAAGCAAGTTTTTGCATGAACCAAATTCAAAGCCCAAATAATTCTAGATAAATGTAACATCAACACTCCCCAAACTTTGCATCAGTTTTTTTGTTTTAGGCTCTCAAAAAGCTATCATCACATTATCAACAATAGATCGTCCCTGTACAAACGCTGATGGTTTGATTGAGATTATCCTAAACATCAAAGGTCTTATAGGCTTATAGCCGTCCGGGCCAGGTGCCTTATCCGGGCTCATAGCAAACATCGCCTATCAAATTTCTTTCGGGAGCCAACAAGTAACCGGTGTCATCTTGTGTTACCACCAATGTAGTAAAAATCACGTTTTAAAATTTAAAAACTTAAGATTTTACGCTTTTAGGTCACCAAAATGCTTTTATGCATAATTACTCTTTTTTTTTACTAATGTAGTTAAAAACACGCTTAAAAACTTACACTTTTACGTTTCTAGGTCACCAAAACGCTTCTACTTAAAAAAGCGTTTTTTACTATATTGGTTATGACCTGCGTCATCGTGTTTACAACTGACTCATAGTCACAATTTCCAGCCTTGAACAACTCAGTGAAGTAACCCCTAGCAATCTCCGCCAACTCTGCCTTCCTCTCCACCCACCGCCCATGTTCATCTTGTAAACAACTTATTTCCTTATCCGGGCTCATAGCAAACAGATGGATACTATTTGTGCTAATTATTTGTTTCCACCATATTTTTTTCTAACTACCGCTTGTAAGTCTTTGAACTTGTCATCAATGGTGGATCACATATATATGAATTCAGATGATGACCAAGAAATTTCATAATATTTGGAGGGAAGTTGTAGGGATAGAAAGTAGTCAGTTGAATAAGTTTCTCCTAGCCGAAAGTAGCAAATGAGGATTTAAGCCAGTAATAGATTACAAAAACTGATAATTGACCTCGTCAAAATGTTTGTGGAAAATATAACTATTATAGTTGGAGGTTTCAGAACAATTTGCTAATGTAAATATGAACGAAAGAGAGCAGAATTACAAAACTAACTTAGCTGAGATGGAAGAAAGTCAACTTGTCAGTAGATGGTTATTTGTTTGAGGCCTTACTAACTGTTGGCGGTGGAATTTTTTTGCTAGCCCAAGGGGGCTGCACGCACCCCCCAGCTTACCAAGTAGCTCCGCCACTGATTCTAAACATCACCAGTCAATCACTTGCTGGATTTTTGGGCCGAACTCCTCAACCTGACAATCGACAAAGCATATCAAAAACCAGAGCAAGGGAGAGGAAGAAGTCAGACTCCGCGCTTAATTACCTCCTGTTCAGTGAGCAAAATTCGAGCGATTTTAGCCAGTCGCCGGACGTCCGACGCTTCCTCGTTCGCCAATGCTTTTGCTGAAAACTTCGTCACGCTGTTTTGCCGCCAAAGAGGATTACTACTCCAGCTGAGAAAAGAGTAAGAGGCGCGGCGGCCATAGCCATTGCTGAGCTTCACCGTCTTGCTACTGTTGATTAGCAGCAACGGAAATGAGCGCCCAAGAAGCAATCCTCCGGTCGCCATAATCCCCTTCCAATTTTCCCTCTTTCCCCTCGCCGGCCACCCAAAACTTCTTCCAGAAATCCAGAAAAAAATTCGATTGCAATTCGCATGGACTGAGATAAAAATAAAATACCTCGGATACCACTTAAGTTTCAGAATTGGGACAGACATACCACTTAAGTTTGAATAGGACGTCGGGTACCACTGAACTCTATTATTTGTGCACCCGATACCACTTAAGTTTAATGTTAAGTGCATTCCGTTAAAGTTGGAAAAAGTACAAGTATTGAAAGGTGGAAACAAAGTGAGAGGCGAAATGGATTTCAAGAGCAAGAGAATTTCGAGAATTTGAGCCATAAGAAAGATAAGGGTCCAAAGGAGGTGTAAGAAGTGATATTCAATTAAAGGGATCCAACGAAGTGCCAAATAGCAATAAAACAAGCAAGGGAGGGTCACAACTGATGATGAAGAGGACAATGTTCAATAGGTGAAACAGAAAAAATATGTAATAATGAAGCAGGCCGATGCTTGATATTGAAATGCCATTGGCCTAGAAAATAGGTGTGGTTTTGATTTTTCAATACTATCTGGAGATATACATCTACCCAGAACAAGGGCCAAACAGAAAAAACAAACAAACAAAATAGAAAGGTATGAATGAGATACAGAACTAATTCCATCGACTTTCTAAATAAGCAAAGCTCAACTCAACACAGTGCGACAGTAATAGACTATAACAATAAGGAAAACCGAAAAATAATCACATGATTACCATATAATAAAATTAGTTTGAAAATAAGATTGGGGATTAATGGGTGGGAGATACATGCTCTTAAGTACATGACTGCAGACTAACTCCCTATTCTGCACTGCCACTTTAAAACATAATCCAAACCAAGATTAATAAGGCGGCATTGATATTTTAGAGAAATTAACCCATTGTTACTAAATTGATCCCCTATTCCTTGCAGTCAGTGCATTTTTAGTACGGGTGTAGTAATTATCAATGCAGAAGCCAAAAGGAGGATATAAGTTCTAAAGTTCTGCTCAAATTATATACTGAATCATGAACAAATAGGGCGCACCTAGTACAATGGAAACTAACTTCTTATTCCATCATTGATATACCAAAGACAAACACCATTGGGCAGCGTAAATGACCAAATACAATCCCATTGTTCTCAAAATAGGGGACAAGCAAACTAACACCAACAACGCAAAGTTGCTCCTAAACACTGCTTGAGCAATACCAGCTCCACAAGGCCTCCGGATGGCCAAATATGGAAAGACCCAGCCCATTAGTGGGAAATGAAGCCAAAAGTTGTGATCTTTCACCACAAACCAAACACGAAATCGATTGCTCATTAGCCTACAGCTAGGCTAGACATCCCCGCAAAAACCACTTTCACCGCCAACCCAAACATTCACATGCCGTCAGACACAGTAATTCGTCAGCCCTTCTACGCTCACCAAACGAGGGAGCTCAAACTTTGATGAAGCGAATAAAAAATTAGCAAGGAAATGTAAGAAAGAGATGTCCCATTCAGTAAACTGAAGATAGACAAATGAGAATGGTTCATAGAGCTCCAATGACATTTAAGGGAAAGAGGTAAAGGTCATAATTAGATAGAGAGAGCGCGATTACCAGGAGAGTATGGAGAGTAAAGAGTACAGAGCAACGGCTGGCACGGGGAAAAAATGGCGGGGATTCGCTGCGCTGTGGGAGTTTATGTTGAGGAAACCCTATTTTTTCCGAGATTCAGAAGGGGAAGGAAGAAAGAGAGAGGGACCCGGATAACGGTGTCGGGTCGGGCCATTTTCGTTTTGTTTATCTGAACTTTTTGGCGGGGCCTGCGCTTTTAGTTAATCTCCACAATAAATAAAAGCAAAACGAGAAAACTTGAAACCTCATTTCAAATTTCCTGCATCTAAAGTGAAAGTAGGAAGGACATTTTGGTCTTCACAATTACTTTATTTTTATTCATTAAAATGACTCTTACTAGAATTCGAACCATGACCACTTTAAAGAAAAGCAAAGATCATAATCAATCACACTAAGTACATTTGTTGTATCTTTTCAAATTAAAAACATATAATCGCAGAGAGGAAAAAACTCTTTCCTCATTTTAAATTCCCTGCTCCAGGAGCGTTTGTAGGAAGGGTAGAATAGGGAGTGTCAATTTTTTTCTTTTTCCTCTGTGGAACGGGCCAACTTACCGTACACATGCGGATTTAAACGGGTCCAGAAGTGTCAATTTTTTTCTTTAAGTCCTTTTATTTCTTTGTGGTGGTAAAATATATATGAAAAAGGCAAAAACAATTTTTATTGCTAAAATGAAAAAAAAATTAACAATAAACTAATGCATGGATTCTAATGGGCTAACCGCTAATCATAAAATAAAAGAGTTGAATGGGCCTGACCTACAGGGGATTTGCCCATCAAGTAAAACAAATGAACATCATGGGTTTGCCATTCTAAAACAAGCTATTTTCTCTAGCATAATATATATTATGCTATTATTTTATATCTTAGTGGCTAAAATATAATGTATTTTAAAGTTATTCAATGGTTCAACCTCGATCAACCCAATTAGTTCAATTTTTATCATTTCAAATATATATTATATAATTATTTGATATCATAATGATTAAATTATAGGGAATCGTTTGGTATTTGTTAGTAAAAAACTAAACAGAAAGATCTATTTGGTTATTTTTTACATTAAAACGATCCTAAACATTTTCAGTTTTCTTAAAAAATTCTATAGTTTTATTCCTGAAATAGTGATGTGCCAATGGCGAATTGCAGTCATCTCTTTTCTTTCATTATTTTTTATTTTCAAATAGAAAGTTTAAAAGTAAAGAATAATTAGAGTTTGGCATGGATCGGACAAACATGCTGAATTTCAAGTTTTGGCCCGTTTTGATCAAGTCTAATTTATAATCACATGGTTCCCTGATACCCGATAAAAATCTCAATCCAAACCAGTTTGGCAGGTGAGTCCGTGTTTACCACCATTTTCTAGGGATACAGGAATGGTGGTTCCTATCCCAAATCGTGTTGTTCATTCTTGATTTCTTTAGATTTTATCATGGCTTGGCAAAAAATCAGAAAGCACAATGATGACAAGATGAAAGTTTTATAAAGCAAATTAATCGGCCAACGGGCCGAGTAAAAGCTAGCAACGATTATGAGATGTTCATTTCCTGAAAACCGGCGGATATGTGATTTTTTATTCGATTTTCTGCAATTCGGTTTCTATAAAACTTACTCCACTTCATCATATTACCAGAAACAATATTGTTTCACAAGGTAACTGATACTTGATTTTAGTTCATAAGGCTAATTTATGATTCGTTGAATCATTCATTTCTCTTTCCTACTAAAATTCACTATTTTTATCACGTGTTTTCAAAAAAAAAAACTATACAACAATAAGCTATACACCCCATTACATCATCAAATTTCATACCTCTCCGGCCAAATGGCCGGGGCTCACGCTAGTTACTTAATTAGCTTCGAGGACGAGGGGGCGGGGGCGGGGCTGGCCGATTCCCGGCTGGGGTTAAATAGCAATTTGGTCACTGAACTCTACTACATCTGTCATGTTGATGCCATGATTTCTTTTCTTAAGCATTTGAAAACTAAATTCAATTGGATGTGTTGATTTTAGCTATTATATCACTTTCAAGTTTCAACTCAAGAATGTTATTAATCCATAAAATCCTCTTCGGTAAAAAATAACAAAATTTCCTGAACTTTTTGACATGACACATTTGTTTGTCACCCATACGATTAATTGAAGTGCTTAGATTATTACTTACAACAACCAAGCAAGTTTGTGCATGAACCAAATTCAAAGCCCAAATAATTCTAGATAAATGTAACATCAACACTCCCCAAACTTTGCATTAGTTTTTTGTTTTAATATGATATAGGCTCTCAAAAGCTATCATCACATTATCAACAATTGATCGTCCCTGTACAAACGCTGATTGTTTGACTGAGATTATCCTGAGCATCAAAGGTCTTATAGATTGCCAAAGGTCCCTGTACAACTTATTTCCTTATGCTTCTAATGCTCGTTCGCCATAAAATGGAAAATCGAGTGTTCATATTTCCATCTTGAACACTTAATTGACGATTGATTCAAAAACAATATTTGTGAGCTCGAGTGTATTCTTGACTCAAGCCAATTTTCAATAATTTGATCAATGTACTTATTTATACCTTAGCTAAAAAGATATCAAATTTGACACAATTTTTGACGGTCTGTCATAAAAAGTCTGTCACGTTAACTATTAAGGAGAAATTGACAAAAGAACTAACATTGATAAATTCGATTGACATAAGGGCTTTGCATCTATTAAAAACGAATTCAATACTCAATGTGACATGTAAATTAATGAATTGAATGACCAAATAAGTACTATCATCATCACAAGTTCACCCCTGTTGAGGCACCTTTCTTCCGTCTCCTCTCCTCCAGCCATGTTAAATGGTCCCAAACAGAAATTTCTCTCTAGCTCTCGCTCTTCATTCGTTTGGTAAATTTGCAAAATGATCCCAAATTTGCTGGACATAATGCAAGGCATCCCAAATACGAACAAAAACTCGGACAGAGCCCTCAATGCAGCAGAAACTACAGACTAGAGAGTAGAGACCCAGAATTCTGAATTCCATTCCCAACAAAAGCTAAAGACAATACATGTTTAAAGGTAACACTATCAGAACCAAACAAACAGAACCATCATCTGATCGCAAAATTCACAAGCTACTGAGCTACTAAATAAAACCCATTTGCAGGGTGCTGCTGCTGCTCACAGGAACAAGTGTTGGTATTCACCATTTGCAAGTTGGCAAAGCTGATTGAAGGAAGATGCATCTGAATAACAAAGCAAACATTGTGCTCAGAAAAAACAGGTCTCATACAACCGAGAGAGACATTATGATGGAATGCACAGGAAACAGAAATCGTTTACCAAAGTTGTCACCAAAGTTTGTCCATATCTCAGCTTGGATGGACTTGTCAGAATCAGCAATGCCAATGACCTCCACAAACCTGGTGAGTGGCGTAGATGGCGGGGAGCCCTTTATGACTAGCTGCTGATCATCTGTGGATTTCCCAATGACTGAACCGCGATCGGAGTTCATTACTTGAATCACTGTCCTGACCCTCTTCCTCACATGTGTTGGCAGCAGGTTTCCATTCACAAGAATTGCAGGGTTTGATGTGTCCATTATCTCTGCACGGATCAGTATATACACAACATTAGTTTAAAGAATGGCTAACTGGAGTCTGGAAGCAACATGGATCAACAATACCTCCCCTTCAAAAACTTCAACATATCAATAACAAAAAACATGTGGAGCAACGCATAGTCAATCTAAGACAATCAAGTTGGGATTGATGTGTCGGTTAGGATACAACGAGACTATGAACCTCGATCGATTCTCGCAAACCTAAAGGAAATCACAGCGGGTGGAAAACAGAATCACATAATTAGGGTTTGGCGGACCGGGGAGGAGATGAGGGCGAGATGGCGCAAAAGGGAAGTAGATCGAAGTCTGCTCGTTAGGTGAGAGAGGATGCGACTGCGCCGCTGTGAAGGAGAAGAACGATTGGAGGCGGTGATGGTGGTTTCAAAAGCAGAAGATCTAGGGTTTGGGAACAAATCAAGACCCCCCCCCCCCCCCCCCCCCCCCCCCCCCCCCCCCCCCCCCCGCCCCCCCCCCCCCCCCCCCCCCCCCCCCCCCCCCCCCCCCCCCCCGAAAGAGAAGGCACAGAAACCTTAATCAGGATTGATATCCCGGCTGAGAACGCAATCGGTAAACGAGGATCTGGACTAATGGCGACACTGAGAAGTGAGAACCCTTTTGGCTCCAACGAGAATCCATAGCTAGAAGGATCACAGAGAAAAGAGAGTAACAAGTAGAACTGGCCGTGCGATGACTTACCGAGTTACCGGAGTGATAGTTCGCGGGGATTTGCAGTGGAATCGGACGGCTTCGGATTTCAACTCGACTAGAGAAACAAGAAAACTGGAAGAGAAGGCTGAATTAGAAGGGTCTGGAACTTGGAAGATATAAAGCGCGCGAGAGTATACAGCAAATGGCGGGATCGTGTTCCAAAGGGGCGCCAAATTAGAAATGGAAGGAGACCATGAAATTAGTTTTATAGAAACTAGTTTTGAGCCCGCCCATTGGGCGGGTGAGTTTCATTTTTCCTTTAACACTAATCAATTTTAATATGACATTTCAATTATTTTAGTGTTGTCATTCTAGAACTTTTTTGTGAATGTGTTATTTAAAATTGTGCGAAAATTAGTATATTTCATATTCATACTCTTTCTCATGTAACTTATAGTTGTAAAGTATTCGTTCCATTAGTAGCATTAAAATAGTTTAATTTGTTTTCACTCCCGCAGGATTAGTTGTATTTGTAAACACATCATCATACTCACTCACTTGATGATAGTTGACATGCTTGTGTATTAACCCAAAACTATTGTTTGATGGTAAAAATTGATTAAGTTGTACAGATTAACCATGAATTTAGCTTTTCAATGAAATATCCTCCTGTTTGGGAAATAAAAATTTAAACTTGAATGTTTATTTTCTAACATGTATTAATTCTTATATGAATAACCACAAACATGTGAGTTGAAATGCCTTTGGTTCAAAATATTCATAAAAATGGGAAAATGCCAATTTAGATTTAGATGTAATAATAATTAATTAACAATGTATATCCTAGCTTAAAAAAACAATATATATTCTCATTGCTCCCATCATGCGGTGCCACAGGCGCACCCCTCTATTCCGGTTTTCCTTTAAATTGGTTAATTAAAACTTAAAATTGTAAAAGGAAATGAGAAAGAAATTGGGAGGGAGTCATTTATATATTTTTTTCAGCAAGCGTTGCAATCTTTCGGGGTTTTGGAAAATAGAGACGGGAAACTTTGTCTTTTAGTGATGCTGACATGGATGCATAATTTTAGTTTAAGATTGATGTAGTAGGGGTCTAAATCTTAAACCCTTTTAATATTTTTATAGATAGATAGATAGATAGATAGATAGATGTTAATACCACTGTAAATAATTAAACTTTAGCAAAATTATCATATATCTTGTCCTTTCGATTTATACATAAATATCTCAAACTATGTTTGATCGTCGGTTATTTAACGTTTATGTCATATGTTAGTATCCCATCGTTCATTGTTGAATATGATATTTTGCTACTTACTAGTATCTCTTCATTTATCTATGTTTTTACTAAATATAATCATATTTTTGTTGAACAAATGTAATCATTTAATAATAAATAAATGATAACAAAAATTATTAAGGTCTTGATTTAGGGGTTAATTGCAAGGATGGTCACTGGGTTTACTAAAACCGTTCATGTTTGGTCACTGCAAATATTTAATTCCATTCATGGTCACTAAGATTAGTTCAATAGTTCAAGTTTGGTCACTCTTCGTTAATCTCCGTTAGTTTTTGCTGATGTGGAAGTCAACTATTATAGTTGACCGTTAAATGAGTGACGTGGCCATTAAAAAATAATAAAATAATAAAATTTAAATATTTACAATTTCCACCTCATTTTACAACTATTAAAAATAGAAATGAAACTTACCTCCGCCATCTACGCCACCGTGGCCATGACGTGATCGTCTCCGCCGCCGGAGGAAGTACTTCTGAGCGTGACTGGGGACCTGAGTAGGAGTCCTTGTCTTGACGAAATTGCGAGAGATTCCTCTCCAATCTCCCTTCCCTACCTTCTGCAATCCAATCAGGAACCGCTTGTGCTCCTCCTCTGTCCACGGCACCCCTACGAAAAAATCAAAAATCAAAATCGAATTTCTATCAGCAAACAATACTCCGAACCAGAAAACCTCATCTCCCAATCGCCTCACTTGCCTTCCTCCAATTCTCTTCTTCTTCTTGGATTTTTTCCCCTCTTTATATTTACACCTGTACGGTGGCCCTCGATTTCGTTTCTACTCGTCCAAAATCCGTCGGCGACTCTGCTTTCCTTCGCGAGATATGGCTGCCACGGTGGCGTAGATGGCGGAGGTAAGTTTTATTTTTATTTTTTAATAGTTGTAAAATGAGGTGGAAATTGTAAATATTTAAATTCTATTATTTTATTATTTTTTTAATGGCCACGTCACTCATTTAACGGTCAACTATAATAGTTGACTGCCACATCAACAAAAACTAACGGAGAGTGACCAAACTTGAACTATTGAACTAATCTTAGTGACCATGAATGGAATTAAATATTTGCAGTGACCAAATATGAACGGTTTTAGTAAACTCAATGACCATCCTTACAATTAACCCCTTGATTTAGCGATATCATGTTAGTTTCCAACATGAAAATTAAAGAATTTATATGTCCTTGGTGCATTTTCTACCTTGCACTCACATACCTCCCTTTAATAACACGTAGCACATATATTTCAAGTACAAGAATCATATTGTAGGTAAAAGACATGGACATTCCTTGAACTTATATGGTATATTCAGTTGAAAATTCAATGATACACAATCCGTGATTGTTTATAGATTTCTATAACTTGGTTGATTTTGAATCAATAGTGAGAATATTGAGAAGAAATCTCAAAATATGTTTTGTAAAAAATTCTCAAAATACACACGTTATAAAACAAATTCCCAAAATACATATGTTTGAACATCACTACGGTCGTCAACTGCAGTGAATGCATTCACCGCGGAAGACGAAAGCGGTGAATGCATCATTGCGGTTGACGGTCGCGGTAAATGCCTGACGTAACACTGAAACTTCAAATGAACGTAAATTTGCGCTCGGTTATCCGGTTGTAGAGAATTTATTTTTATTCCGCATGATTACTCAAGATCTTTCAATCTGCAACAAGCCTTCATCTCAAAAAAATGTTGCTTGTTACCTCGAACGAGCAATTTTTCGATTTTGCCAAACTTTGGAAGGCCATAACTTTTAGCTCCTCAATCTAAACTTCGTAAAGTTTTTTTTATTACGTATAACTTTTTAAGAACTACAACGTTTACTAGAAAATAATTTTTTTAAAAAGAAATATTTTTGGGTATACATGATTTTGAGAATAACTTTGTCTTTACTTTTCACAAATCCACATACATTCCAAAATTATGGTTATGATCAAAGTTGTAGTCCTTCAAAAGTTATGCGAAATCAATAAAAGTTTCATGACATTCGGATTGCGGAGCACAAAGTTATGGTCTTCCAAAGTTTGTCAAAATCGAAAAATTGCTCGTTCGGGGTAGCAAACGAATATTTTTTGGGATGAATGTTTGTATGAAGTTTCAGTGTTACGTTAGGCGTTCACCGTGGCCGTCAACCGCGGTGATGCATTCACTGCTTTTGTCTGCCGCTGTGAATGCATTCACTGAGGACCACATTGATGCCCAAACATGTGTATTTTGTGAATTTTTTTTATAACGTGCATATTTTAATTTTTTTTAAAAAACATGTGTATTTTTTGAATTTTTTCCAGAATATTGTTTATAGTGTCAGGTTTATTTCCTTAATTTGTAACTGCATTTAACTAATTAATAAAATACTTTAGGAGAAATTTCATTATGTTAATAAATATATTGTTCCATTTACAGCAAATCCATAAATATCAAGGTAATATTAATTACATAACCTTTGTCTACAGTTTTAGCATGAAAAGAAAAAAAAAATCTAACATAACTTACAATTCCCCAAAAGAAACCTCCATCATCCAAAATTAGTTTATATACACCTGGGCCTTATCCTAGAAATGAGCTATGTAGTACTGCAGCAGCCATTCTTCTTCATCAACCAAATGATAAGCAGGACGGCCAGCACGACAGAGACATCGTGGCAGTATGGCTGGCAATTTTCCTTCTCAATGCTGTGCGTCTAAGAAAGTGGAGCTATAACAATGCCTTTCTTTTATCAGATAACGATCTCGTTTGATGCCATGTCGGCTACTCGTTCGTTCAGAAGACTAGATCGACTCAGCTCCTGAAGCTCCCCGTTGGCCAGAAGCAGTATCCGGTTAGCCATCAGAACCGTCTCCAGCCTGTGGGCTATAACAAGTACCTACAAGGTAATAAACATAGATACTGGTGTCGGTAAAGAGAAGCTAGCTCCACGATGCATTTGGAAAGAAAGTTACTCTGGTTCTCTACTGCAGGAAGGGGCCTCGGTTTCTAACTGAGGATTACTAAAGCAAATATTTCAAGGCTAACTAATGCCAACTCTGTAAGATGCAACGAGGTGCATAGCCAGGTCTCCTGCTGTGACTCGGTAACATCCTTACCGTGTGATTTTTGGTCAGCTTCTCCAGAGCTTGTCTTACAAGCAACTCAGACTTGCTGTCCAAGGCAGAAGTTGCCTCATCCAATATCAGTATGGATGCGTCCTGATAGATAGCCCTTGCAATAGCCAGCCTGCATGAACAAAGCACCCGGCATTGATCAATGAGACTTTTATAGTGATATATTAGCCATTCATTGTTGTTTACAGCAAACAAGATGTAGCAATAATGATAAAAGATTATTAAAAAAATTGCTTCACCTTTGTTTTTGGCCTCCGCTTAAGCTTGATCCCCTTGGTCCAACATCTGTTTCATATCCCTTAGGAAGCATCCTAATGAACTCGTCGGCATTCGCATCTCTTGCAGCCATCTGAACCTTTTCCATATCTATTTTTGTTGTCAAGTCTTTATATCCGATGTTTTCAGCAACTGTCCCTGAAAATATTGTCTGAAGAAAATGATCTTAATGAGTTGTTAAAGATCAAGTGGCTTCAAACAACATATTCCAGCTCATGATAAAGGAAGTCTAGAATCACTCACAACATCCTGAGAAACCAGACCAACATGTCTCCTCAAACTTTCCAAATGTACGTTCTGGATATTTTTGTTATCTAAGAGGATACCACCTGTCAACGTGGAGCTTCAAATAAGCAAGTTGCACTTGGATGGAAGTGGGGGGAAAAGTAAACAGTGAACTCACAAATTGCGTACCAGATAAGGGATCATAAAGCCGCAGAAGCAATTTCGCAAGGGTTGTCTTTCCTCCTCCAGATGGCCCGATGAGTGCAACAGTTTCACCAGCTTGGATGTGAAGGTTAAGTTTATTCAGC